GGCCCCTCTTCTTTATCATTATCTCACACCTGACACTTCCTCTTGCTCTCTCCTCGTGTTTTCTTGAAGTGCTACTTCTAGCGCTCACAAAACCACAAGAAACTGTTCCTTCTTCTGGTTCTTCAAATTCTTGTGTTTTTTAAGCCAAAGAAACGGAAGGAAAATCTTCTTGTAAACATTCGAACTCCGAATTTCTGACATCTTAACCTTTTCCCTCTTCGCGTGCCGCAGAGGAGGAGGAAAGGGGAAAATGGGAGTCGGAACTAGTAACTTTGTAATCAGATGGATCAACTTTTTCACCATGGTTTGATTCTCTTTCCTTTTTTTTTTTTGCGCATGTGTTTTAGTTCATTCATATGCTTTAATGGTGATTTTGAGATGCATTTTGAAAGCATGCCCATTTTTATGCGCATCGCCTTTCAAATCGTCGCTAAATCGGTTTCGCTTCCTCTGTTGGAAAGTTTGTTTGGACTTGCTCTTTTTCCCAAGTTTCGATATTTTTTTGCTTTCTTCACACCTCAAAGCTGCTTATTCAGCCTTATTGCAAACTGATTTTCAGGGGTCTTGTATGGTTGTTCATGCATGTTTGCTTTCATTTGAAGCAAAAAATATGCTCGAAGCTACAGTTTTTTCATGCTTTCTTTACTTCTGTTTGCATTTTCTTTCTCTAGCTAGTTTATTTGCTTCATGATAAGTTAGAAAAGAAATGTTAATGGAAAATGGTGATGTCAAACACTATTTCATCAGGTTTACTTCAGATAGTATTAATATATCAGTGAAGCAGGACATGGACATCACTTGTTTATTCTTTCTTAGTTGATGCTTAATCTTCTCCTTGTGCAGCTTTTGGCTGTTGCAGTAATAATATTTGAATATGGATGAGCAATCATCATGATGGCTGTAGGAAGTCTCTCACTCTGCCTGTGATAAGCCTTGGAGCATTTATCTTCATAATGTCAGCCTTGCATTTTTTTAAAAGTTAACTTTGGTGTCTTCTCTTGCTGGAATATTTTTGCTTGTTGATCGTCCTCTAATCCAAGTTTTTGAATTGTATAGATCCGTAATCGGTTTCTTGGGTGCCCTAAAAAACATCTCTATAGTGTTATGGGTTGTATCCTTATGAAATGAATACTTATTATAGTCACATATATTTCCAAATTGAATCTTATCAATTATTGAACGATTCCTTTGGAAGAGACTAGCATATGAGAACATAATTGGGCATGGGCTTACTAGTCACTTCCTCTCTTTACACCCATATCCTCTTGTTTCTTTATTTCTCTTTGAATGCACTGTATATAAATATTTTGATCCAGAGTGCGTACATCCACTGCCACTTGCCAACACCTTAAAGAATTTGATTTTAGCTTCTGGACTCTGGTATCATCCTTGACATTTCACTTGCAGTATCTGATCATCCTATGCTTCATCTTAATAGCTATTCTGGTCTTCACTGTACTGGCGTAAGTACACAAATATTTTGACCACATTCTTTTTGGTTTCTATGTTATCGTTTGGTCTTTGCAAGTTGTCTCTGCCATGAATTTACAAGAGAGAGAGAGAAAAAGAGAGAATAGGAATTCTGAATAGTCCTCTGATTAATTCTTAAAAAAACATTGTGTCAGATTTACAATATGCTTCCTTCTATAGATGCTGACACCAGGGTTTATGTTTATCTCCCTAGTATGTTTGGTTGGAAGGGAGGGAAGGGCCCCTTATTTGGGAAAATTAAATGGAGGGGAGAGGAGGGAAAATTTTAATTAATTTTCACTCCCCTCACCTCTCAACCCTCCCCTCCAAATTGGGGGGATTTCCCTTTCCTTCCCCTCCCCCTCCCCCTCCCCCTCCCCTCCCCTCCAACTAACTATCTTTTTTGAATTACAAACGATACATCATACTCAGTCTTAAAATTGAACTTTGAAGGAGCAAGGACAAAGACTCTCATGGTTTAATTTTATTCTTCTCAATGAAAGTTGAAGATAATAATCTCAATTAAGGAATTATGTGCTCAGAGTTGTAAAGCAATGCACATCTGATGCAGATTTGTTAAAATTAGGCAAAAACACAATAAACTAGGACGTTTTACATTATTTTCCTTTGCTTTTGCTTCGATCATATGACAACTTGACTTGCTTGGATTTTTGGTTCTTGTTTGGGTCTCATAACCTTGCTACTGTGTCAGGTTTATTGTGACTAATAATGGATCAGGTCATAACGTGGCTGGCTTGAGGTAAGAAGACAAGCACTTCATACATGTACACTTCATTATGATCCTTCAATTTTTCTAGTTAAATGCATCTTGATCGTATTTTGAAATTATCACTATATTTCTGCTTGATTGTAGTAGAATAAATGTCTTATCTTGTTAGGTACAAGGAGTATCAACTGGAAGATTACAGCTCATGGTTCCTCAAACAAGTAAGTTTGTGGCAATCTAGGGAACTGATGCTAACACAGTAACAATTCTACAAGCATTTGCTTGATCTATTCCTTTTGTTTTAGTTGAACAATTCTCGTAACTGGGCTCACCTGAGGAGTTGTCTTGTCAAATCTGAAGACTGCAATAAGCTATCAAAAAAATACAAGGTCCCATGCTTCTATCACGTCATTGAATTCAACTCCATCATGATTTGTATGAACAATTCTCATTTATTCTCTTTACAATCTTCATATTTTGCAGACTCTTAAACAATATAAATTGGCTAAATTGACCTCCATTGAGGCTGGCTGTTGTAGACCACCTTCTGAGTAGGAATTCACCCTCCTACCTCAAAGATTTCGTACAAACTGTTTCTTTTAGTGCAGTTTCAGTTGTGTTCTGACTAGAGTTGATCTTTTGGCCAAGAAAATTAGCACCATTGACTGATTCTTTTATGTAACTCAGATGTGGATATCCTGCTGTAAATGCATCATACTATGACTTGACCTTTCATCCAGTTAGCGCTAGCTATGACTGCAGACGGTACAAAAACTCTCGGGTAGTCAAATGTTATGATTGTGATTCTTGCAAGTAAGCATACTCGGTAGCCCTATTCCATGGTCAATGCTTTTTACTCCTTAGATGTATAAATTACCTGGCTACACTTGTGTTTTCCTTATTTTTGTTTCCAGGGCTGGGGTTGCACAATACATGAAAACTGAGTGGAGGATCGTTGCAATATTTAATGTTGTTTTATTTGTTGTGTTGGTAAGATATTCCTGATCCTTTTGTGAGATTCATCAAATTATTTCCCAGGAAACGTCTTAAGTTACTCTACGTGGCACAAACTCTTGAACTAGATCTGAAACCTCTGTATTTATCGAGAAATTGCAGTGTATATTTTGAAAAGATAAGAGAAAGAAATATGAAGCATGTGGATAGGGAAGAAGTAGATCACATAAATTTTTACTATCATATGAAATATATACAAGTAAAGAATTTCTAACGATCTAACACTAAAATATTAGTTCTTTTGAGAAGGATCTTACATAGCTTTATTTTCACCAAAAAAGCTTGAACCAAACGAATAAGAAATTGGAGCCAAGCCTTGTCCATACAAGTTACCAACAGTGCATTTCCTTGCATGCCTTAAATTTGATTTACAATTACAATTGCAATGTAATGTGCAATGGCAGGCTATTATATACTTTGTTGGATGCTGTGCGAGACGAAATGCTGCCAGGAGCCATTCTAAGGCTTGAAGGGAGAATATATGTGCTGCTTCTACAAATTTCTTTTGATTAATGCCAATTGAAGATATCAATGTCTGCGGCATTTGGTTTGTACTTGTTTAGTGACTTTTTTTTCCCAAAAAAAAAAATAAAAATAAAATTTGGTAAAAAATTGTGAATTTCTGTACCCATGAGACTTGACTTTTGTTATGTCATCACATTTTTATTCTTTGAAGTGTATAGCAAATTCAAATTTAGGAAACTTACTGTGCATGGACAAGTTTAATCATGCAAAGTGTGGCTTATTATTCCTTTTGGAGGATTTGTCAGAATACAATCAAGATTATCTCAAGTATGATTTCTCATCGCTTATGCTGCAAAATTAATTGAAATACATGTAAATTTGGTGCATTTAAAATTGAAGTGTGTCTAAGAAATTGATTACAACAATCAGACGTTGATCTGTGATTGTTTAAGTATGGCTACACGAGGTCTTGAGTTTAAATTTGTGTGAAAGTTGAAAACATTTTTGAAAGAGTTATATCTAATTAGATTTAATACTTGAATCTAACAAGTTTGATAGTTATAGAAAAAATGACGTTATATGTAAAATAGTTTGATTTAATTTTAAATATCAACCATTAAGCTGAAAGTAACACCAAGTTTAACGTGTATAACATTATACGATTAACCATTAAGCTAAAAGAGATATACGCATTTAATATTTGATTATATCCATACTGCTTTCAATAGGAGGACAATTGTATGCCAACGTTTTGAACCCCCTATCGAACTGGATGTCGAGTCAATCAGGCGGTCACTTGCTCTATAGGCTTGAACCGTTTGGAAGGTCAAACAGTTTTGAGCCATCTTGAATCGGTGCTTGAGCCAGGACTCAAATGGGAGCTAGGACTTGGAGCTAGTTGAAGAGAGTCCGGTAAGTCTACATTTTTTGAATTTAAAAGAAATTTCTTTCGCTTGCCACTTGTGTCCTAGTTGAAGATGTAAGGAAGTGATTCTGGCTCACTCAACATGAGAAGCCTGACAGATGGATTTGCATTCAGTACTCATTACCGTGTGGTCATTCCTGACCCTCCATTTTAGTATAAATTGATTTCTGTCATTTATTTAAATTAATTTTTGAATGTTTTTAGTATTATTTTTAGTAATATAAAAAATATAAAAAATTTTAAAATTTTAATAAATTTATTCATTACCAATCTAATCAGTACATATTTAATTTAGCATTTTAATTTAATATTAATTTTTTTTATAATTTTATAATTTGACTTTTGAATGATTTACATATAATTTAGATGATCTAATTTAATATTATTTACATATAATTTAAATGATCTAATTTAATATTAAAAAAATATAAACTTTATAAATTAATCATTTACATGTACTTTAAATAGTTTATATTTAATGTTAATATTTTTTATTTTTTATTTTAATAATTATAATATTAAAATATTTAAAAATTAATTTAAATGGACGATAGAGTTGTTTTAAATTGAAATGAAAGGAATGCGGACGCCTGACAGGTTGCTATTCATTATAGAGAATCAGAGTTAGTGACTCTGTACACGTCATAGCTTCTACAGTATGCTAAAAGAATAAAGAATTCTCCTTTGCAGAACTGCAATAAGCTATAGTATAGGAGCAATAACATAGTTCAGGCCAAAAAAAAATAGTAATAACGAAGAAGAAGCAATGACACATGCGACTATAACTTGGGCCTTTTACTGGATTTAGTAGCCTTGGACTGAGACATGAGCTAAACCAGTCTAGTGCGCAAAGTAATACATCAAACATCCCCCTGCAAGCGTGAGGTGACTGAAGGCAGCCCAAGCTTGCCTATGAGAAAGAGAAACCAACTGGTCAATAATGGCTTGGTCAAGAGATCTGCAAGCTGGTCGTCAGTCGGAACAAATTGAGTAGCAATCTTCTTAGCAAGCACCAAATCATGAACAAAATGAGAGTTAATCTCCTTATGTTTAGTGCGAGCATGGAACACATGATTGGAGGCCAAAGTTGATGCACTAAGATCACCGCATTAGTTTACTAATATGAGTTGAGAAAGCAAGCCAAGTTCATCGAGGAATGATTGGAGCCATATAAATTTAGCTGCCATATGAGCAAGAGAACGATATTGAGACTCTGTATTTGAATGGGCAACAACAATCTGTTCCTTAGATGACCAAGAGACTAGGGAATAACCAAAGAACCAAAAAAAAAAAAAAAAGAAAACCGCTAGTTGAACAACGATCAACTCAGCAAGGAGCCTTAGCCCCACTAGAGTAGGCAGCAAGATCAAGATACTCGGATCGTTTGATGTGTAGCTCGATGTGAAAGGTTCTCCTGCCATATCTAAGTAGCCATTTGATGGCCAGCCAGTGTAGAATAGTAGGGGAAGATAAGAACTGACTCAACTTACTAACTGCAAATGAAACATCAGGACAAGTGGTGGCTAAATGTTGCAGAGCACAAACAATTCGACGATAATCAAAAGTATCATGTAGAGGAGAACTATCAAATCATGACAACGATTGGCCTAGAACCATTAGCATTTTTGCAAGAGGAGTCGGCACTCAAATCCTATCGACTAGGAAGATAAAAAATATATTTGCCTTGGTTGAGATAAACACTAGAGGCACCTCGGGCAATTTCTATACAAGAAAATAATTACTAGGGCCCATATATTTCAGAGAGAACATGTCATTAATTTTTGCAATAAACATACTCATACTGTTAGAATCATTCCTAGTGACAAGGATATCATCAACATAAATCAATATTATTAGAATTTGATCTTGATTTTGAAAGAAAAACATGGATGTGTCACTCTTGCTATTGGAAAACTTCAATGTCAAAAGAGTGGATCAAAGATGATAAAACCAAGCAAGTTGTGCATGTTTCAACCCATATAAAGCTTTTCTACCATTTGTTTAGTAGGTAACCCCACCACAAATTTAACTTTCTTCTTGCCATCTACATTGGCATGTATCTTAGAAGGTAAAGGAAAGATATCTAAAGAAGTTATAGGATTAAAACTATAAACAATTTCAAAAGGAGAATATGAAGTAGAAGAATAGATAGCTCTCTTATAAGCAAATTCAATGTGAGGCAAACACTGTTCCCAATTCTTCAAATTCCTTTGACCAATAGCAATCAACAATGCAATCATAGTTTTATTGATTACCTTAGTTTGACTATTTGTTTGAGGATGAGTAATAGTAGAAAATAACACTAGTACAAAACATAATTTTAACTATATTTTTTTTCCACAGTTTATAAGAAAACTATGGTAAAATAAGGTAAAGTAGCAAAAATGTAAACAAGGTAAAAAATGTAAGATTTATGGCCACAGACATACAATCCACCTATCACCGTAAATGATTTGACAAGCCATTAAACAAACAACATAATTAAAATAAATCATTAATTCAAATTTTAAATTTACATTATTAAGAAATATATATATATTTAAATTTAAATTATTAAGAAATATATATATACATACACTTAACGTGTCTCAGTTTAGAATTTAGACATATAAATTTTAGTTATTTTTAAAACAAAGATTATTTTTATTTTTATAAATATTTTATCATAAATATATAAATAAATTTAATTTTTCTAATTTCAGGCATAACAATTATGCTTGAAATCAGAAACCTACGGCGACAGGCGTGATAAATGCCTGAAATCAGGCAAACTTACGGCGACAGGCGTGATAAATGCCTATTGCCGTATGTCTGATTCAGGCATTAAATATGCCTCAATTTTGTAAAAATAATAATTAATTAATAATTAAAAATTTTACATAAATTTTTTAATTATTTAAATTTTTAATATGCCTAAATCCAAACATATTAAATGTGTCTAAATTCAGACATCTTAAATTTAAACTATTAATAAAATTAGGATTATTTAAATTTTTATAAACATTTATTAATATATATATATATATAAATTAAATATGTCTGATTTCAGGCATAATTAGTATGCCTGAAATTAGAAACCTACGGCGACATGCGTTAAGAACGCTTGTCACCATAACTATGTCTGATCTCAGGCATATTGATTATGCCTAAAATCAGGCAAACTTACGGCGACAGGCGTGATAAATGCCTGTCGTCGTATGTTTGATTCAAGCATTAAATATGCCTCAATTTTGTAAAAAAATAATTAATTAATAATTAAAAATTTTACATAAATTTTCTTAATTATTTAAATTTTTAATATGTCTAAATCTAGATATATTAAATGTGTTTGAATTCAGACATATTAAATTTAAAATATTAATAAAATTAGGATTATTTTAATTTTTATAAATATTTATTCATTATATATATATAAATTAAATATGTCTTATTTCAGGCATAATTAATATGCCTAAAATCATAAACTTACGGCGACATGCGTTAAGAACGCCTGTTACCATAAGTATGTCTGATCTCAAGCATATTGATTATGCCTGAAATTAGGAAAACTTACGGCGACAGGTGTGATAAATGCCTGTCGTCGTATGTTTGATTCAGGCATTAAATATGCCTCAATTTTGTAAAAAAAATAATAATTAATTAATAATTAAAAATTTTACATAAATTTTTTAATTATTTAAATTTTTAATATGTCTAAATTCAGATATATTAAATGTGTCTGAATTCAGACATATTAAATTTAAAATATTAATAAAATTAGGATTATTTTAATTTTTATAAATATTTATTCATTATATATATATATATAAATTAAATATGTCTGATTTCAGGCATATTGATTATGCTTGAAATCAGGAAAACTTACAGCTACAGGCGTGATAAATGCCTGTTGTCGTAAGTCCATTATTACATATGGCGACAAGCATTAATGACGCCTGTCGTCGTATGTATTTAATAAATTTGTTTATCGCCAACCCTTAGCTTCCTCACTCACCCTCAGCTCCCAAAACGTCTGTCACAGCTTCGTATTCCTAGAGCTCCCTCAGCTGCCACAGCTCCAGACCCCATTCGCCCAGCTCCCTCGTCCGCTATCAGCTCATTTGCCCACAGCTCGTCCGCCCACAGCTCCATCTCCAGTTCATCTCGGTGCCCATAGCTCTGCCGGCTCCTACTGTCTCCTCTAGTGCTAGCTAAAGGTTTTCCCCTCCTTTTTTTACAGTTTATTATTTTTTTTGCAATTTATTATTTTTTTTGTAATTTATGTCATTTTTTTAGTTAAATTTCATTCTTTTTCTAGTTTATTTTTTTTGCAATTTATTATTATTATTTTTTACAATTTATGTCATTTTTTAGCTTAACTTTCATCCTTTTGCTTGGAATTTTTCATTTTTGATTTTAAAAC